TGTAGGGGAAAACTAAAACCTGCATCGTGTTCAGCAACCAAAATTGACACAAAAACTAAATTTGTTAGTCCCATCATTTTCGGACGTGGTGAACAGTGTATTTAATCGAAAAATAAGAGATTTTTGGAACCAACCTGAATGTTTGACTCTGTAATTGGACGACCTCTAAAAGAGATCGGTGAGTTTAACAAATGATTGTCCACCGAAAAATCATCAAGATTCTTCCACACGTAAAGACCCCATCTCGTTGATAGGCCCGCTCGAAGTAATTTTTTGGACGATGCCAAGTGCATTAAATGCCCTCGAATATCTTCCGCGATTGAACGGCCTTGAATCAGCAAAGTATAAATGCCCTAAATTTATGACAGGTTTACGAGTTACAAAAATATCAGAATTCCGCTAATACAGTCAAATAATCATTTGAACCTACGTGATTCCGAAACTGGTCCAAAATCGTTCGAATGCTGTTCTCCTCCACGACGACGACCTTCGGATATTTCCATTTCACAAAACGTATCCAGCATTTTCTCGACCATGTCATGACTTGGGCACGTTAAAAGGTGCAAACAGTATTAACAAACAAAATTAAATTTCATTAGATTAATTTCGGTGTACGATCACTAGACTGTGGATGTTTATGCAAATTGACAATTTATTGTACAATGTAATTCATCGTAAAATCATATTGAATACGTTTTTCTGTTTAAAGATCAAGGACTCACTGTCGCAGTGACCAAATTCACTCAAGATAAAAAACTCGCAATTACAGTCGTGAATGAAGTTAAATCACGATCGTGATCGTGATTCAGCGATTACTGTGATAAATCACCGTTAGTGATTTTGTACGCCATCTCTATATACAAAAGATTTTCAATATCCATTATCTCGAAAACGAAGTCTCGAATGGAATAATTTAATACTATACTTTCGACTTATTTCTTCTCGTAGAATAATCACCTACCCTGTTGCACCACCAGTTACACGACACCCTGTATATTTTGTGTAACTAATGAAAATATTTATGAAATTATTTACATTTATATTCTACTGAAATTCATTGTTACTTTTATTATTATTTGTTAAATACGACAGAGATGAAGTCAGAAAAATTATACTGGGTGAATAATTAAGGAAATAAGTGAAACTATATATCCAAAATGCTAGACTTTGTGTCGCGTAGTGGTGAAACTAAAACCAACATTCTGTTCAACAACCTTCAATTGACACAAAAAAAACCGGGTTTCGTTCCGTCATTTTGCTAATTGAATACAATGCAATCAGCGTCCAACAAAAAAATTAATCAGGCAGTCTCGAAACGCGTCGAGGCACAATAAAAAAATATGTACTTCATCTTGGATATCAAGGCGTCATCAACCTGTTATCTTCAACTTGTCCGTGAAACGACCGTCGTGAATAATTACCCGGATAAACGAGGAGGAAGACCGGTACCAAGAGGACCAACAGTGACAGCCCGATGCCCAGGTGACAGAGTAACGAGATACCGAGAACGTCCACGAGGTTGAACGGTGTCATTCTCTCTGGGCGATGATCCTACCACCGTTCAGGTATCCTTCGTCACGGAAAAATTCTTTCCTACCAAAAATACAACCACCCCGAAATGGTACGTCGAATACGCTGAACTAACGAAATTCTATAAATTCTCGTTCGCGTGTTCGTGACTCCGCGATGCTACTGACTGGCGTATAGACGATTATGTTCGAAGACTTGACCCTTGACCCCGTTGCAAATGGTCAGACGGTGGCTCGCGATGATACACCAGTCGCGATCATCCGCCTTCCCCCCTCGATCACTCACGACGAATCATCTGTGGATTCGTGAGATCCGGTCACGGTTTAATTATAGGCAACAGCCAGAAAGATAATAATCGTCGGATCTCTGTCGCGCGGCCTTTGACTTCAGGTTGACAAATTACAGCAGCGAAACACGCAGATGAGGGAGTTTTGGGTAGTATCTCTGGTGGGGATTTTTATTTGCTTTTCCATCTGATGAAGGTGGAAGATAGTTCTGTCGGTCCTTAGCGTTCAGATTTAGGGGAGACCAGGGACAAACGTAACAATGTTTCTTTTTGAATCTGTAACTTTTGAATAGTGGAGAATTTTTTAAAAATTCTTAGACAACGAGATACCTTGATTATTGAACAAGATAATGAAACTGTGAGACTTAGAATATATTATACCAGTTTTTTGAAATGAGACTTTCTTAAAATCACCCATTTGTTACTTTTGTTCCTACCCCTAGGGATGGTTGTAACACGGTATCTAAATTGAAAAAAAAAAAACCAACTACAAGTCTAAATTATAGATAGACATAAACATAAATATAAAGATAAATATAAACATGAACTTTTCAAATTTTTAAAAATGCCAACATACGTTGTATTAACAGTCATTTTTTTCCAGGAGTCAGGAATAGATTTTTCATACATTATTACTAACTCGTAAGCCATTTTTTTTATTTCTTTTTTGTTGTCATACCTGCAGGAGCGTTTGAAAAATGAGAGCCCAAAAGCGGGATCCTAATCGCGCTTCTCCACGGAACTCTTCTTCGTCCATTGATGTTATTGCTCCTCTTATTGGGTATGGAAGTCCCGATCTCACGTACCGTAATTGATAGCGGATAAATACAACAAATAATCCTGCAAAAAAAATATCAGTATCTTCCAAACTGACTAAAGATTTGATTTTATTTTACATTATACCAGTGATGAGCAACTGGGGGCTCCTGTGGAGGCGATGCGAGGCAAGAAACTTCACGACATATTTGTGTATTGGGATTTCCTGACACTTCCTGCACATTTTAATCTAAACTAGAGTATCACTCGTATAGATTAATAATCATTTATGTTTATTCTTATTAAAGAAAAATAAAAACAACCTGATCGTGTTAGCCACGCGAAAATAGTTCCTTTGTATTAAGTAATATTATATGTAAGTAGTATTCAAGGTAATTGTTATTAAATTTATACAAATACCATTGTAAGTTGTATATTTTTTTACGATTTTTCAATAAGAAACAGTCAAATCATACGTATGAGTTATTCATTAATCCCAGCACTATCTCCACTCTTATTCGTAATTTTATTTTACCAAAAAAATAATAAGAAACAATCAATAATAGCAAAATAATACATTCTCAAAATTTTTAAAAAAGCGCGAGAAACCTGGAAAATCGAGATTTTGCCAAAATTACGGTAGCCACCTGGCGGCGGAAATTGGAAGTAATTCTAGAACTTTTACCAAAAGCGCGGGAAACTGTCACAAATTGACATGTGGTGTCGACTGGTGGCGATTTCTGGAACTAGATTAAGAAAAACTTCTTACAAAACTGTATTTAGTTCCAATTTCCGCCGCCAGATAGCTACCATAATTTTAGTAAATCCCCGATTTTTCAGTGTTCCCGCGTTTTTTCAAATTCAAATTTCGCGCTAAATTGAAATAAATTTATTTTAATGCAATTTTAACTAAACGTAACAATTACCATTTATTTATTTATGGAAAATATGGGATAGTCGTAGTGATAGGGTTAATAAACAACACATGTAACTGTTTTTTATTGAAATAATCTGATGAAAATACACAATTTACAATAGTATTTGAATAAATTCCGCAAGAATTGCCTTAAGTACTATTTATATATACGAGTTTACAATGTATTTGTAACAATATGTGCATAAATTCAGTAAAACATGGATTAAATATTATTCAGACTTATAACAATAAAAATATTTGATGTAAGAATGTCTCCATTCTTGGAGACATACGATAGATGTTGAACTCCTGTGGAGGGATTGCGAGGCAGGACACATCACGAGTCGTGATTCACGACATATTTGTATATGAAGTAAATGATAGATCACTCACACATTTCACCCATCACTGCCATATGCCCGCACGCTGCACGTTGTTGCCCCTCAGTGAGTTTGGCCTGCGCTGAGTTGCCCATCACTGCATTATACAATTCCATATGCTATAAATGTATAAAAGACGCAGTCTGTCAAATAACGTTTCAAAGAAAATTATTATCAAAAGTCCATGACAACAGGAACGAACAGAAAAACTTGTGTTTAACTACTCATAGTTCTTAAATATAATAACAATTTTTACATCATTTTGTTCGGGAGTCCAAAGAATTATTTCGTGTAAAAAAAACTGAATAACTATTATTATAAAAGCACAACGCACCATCAAAGTTGAAAATTTGCAATTTTTTTCAAAAATTGATTTTTTTTAACTGGATGTGCAGGGAAGAAACGATTTACAGATTCGTATTCAGTTCATAATGATTTATCGGAAACACCTACATTAAAAATTATGAGGTGGAAAAAAAGTTAACATTTGTTGAACAGTGTTATTACACTATGAATTTTATGCCTTAATAGGATTCATAATTATTTAAAGCTCAGCACAGGGGAACGTTTAATAGGATTTAACAAAGATTTTGTTTCATTTGGAATCTGTTAGAACCGTTAATAGAATACAGAAATTTATATTTGATCCCAGTTTTTGTGAATTACTTCATAAGTCTATATATTTACATCACATCCACAGTCTACTAACAATAAATACCAACGACCTAAAGAAGGTTCTGATAATCTCATCTCTGTAGCGCGATTCTTCACCCCCCCATTCGTCAGAAGAAAACGAACTGGTGATAACGTATACAGCTTCTGACACACGTCGTCGATGAAACAGTATTCGGTTGAGCGTCACATTGTCACTGCGAAATCATTGTGATTATAATATGTTATTATATAGTATATCGAATAATCGAAATTCGATTCGAATTCGTATTCGAGAACACATCGCGTTGAACTCAATATTTACCATTACCATGTATCGTGGAAATGATTTGACCCAGTTTCGATGCAAAATACAATTTCTTTATCATTCGAAGCACAAACCGAAGAAAGTGATAATTACGTGGCAGTATCGATAATCTCGCAATCCATAAGTTTTATAAATTTCACTACAGATTACTGTATTGAACACATTTGTAACGTTTAAAAGAAATGCAGTAAAGGATAGAGACGTTTTCAAAGTGATACCGAAACTTACCATTTTTACCGTTTCCTGAAACATTTTTATGGAGATTGTTAAGCAATAAATGTTATCGCATTACGTAATAATAATAATGCATATAACAATAATAACGTGTATTCATGACAAATAAAATAGTACACTGTTTTTACAATATTCATACTTATTATCGAGATGAACACTGTTCAACAAGTCCCAAAATGATGGAACTATACCTAGTTTTTTGTGTTAATTAAAGATTGTTGAACACGATGCTGATTTTAAGTTCTTCCTTACACGGCACAAATTCTAACTTTTTAGGTATAAAATTAGCGCTGTTCAGTTTGACTTATTTCTTGAATTATTTACCTAGTAGAATTCACTTGATTTTATAGCATTGTATTTAACAAATAATAATAAAAATAATACTGAATTTAAATAAAATATAAATGTAAGATGTAAATAATTTCATAAATATTTTGATTATAATAGACCCAACGTCCGGTCAGTTGCCGTTCGCATTTTCTCTATCTCACACACCACACACACACACACATACACATACTCCTACATAGCCTTTATTTGATAACTATCATATTTTCTGTTTTTATAGCAAAAAGTTAATGTAGTTCAAAAGTAGGAACTGCTTATTTTTTGCAGCTCTACATTTACAGTTAAATGAAAAAAAAATCCTTACGCGTAGGATCAAAAGTGAGATTACCATTGTATTCAGCAATTCAAGATCAAAAAAAGGAAACCAGTTTCATTGCATAATTTTAGGAATTTATTAAACTTTGTTGAACGGTGTAATTAGGCACTAAAGACACAAAAGTTGATTTCGATCAATCGTTTTATTTTATTAAAAATGTATATTTACAAAATTGTATATCAATATACATGTATATATTTACACTCGATTTCTTACAAAAAAAGGTAACCTGCTTTATATAAAATATGTCATTGTTTATACTTTCTAATGGTTTGAAAGTAAACTCTAAGTAATAAAGAGAATAATACGTTTCTCTAATTTACAGGATGTTTTATCACATACACAAAGAGCATTAAATAATTTTCGAAAATTTCTTTGATACTAATACGCAGTAGTCAAGATATTCGACTATAAATAAAATTGTGCCAATAATATAATATTACATTGTATTGCAATTTTATGTATTACTATGTTACCGATATAACATAACAAAACGTGTATTATAAACATTAATGTCACTTTTATTTTTCGCCTTTTTACTTTCATACGCCACTATCTTCAAGTGGCCTGTTAGGCTTGTCCCGTTTAGCATTATGATAGAGATACGAATGTACACGTAGACTGTTGCTGTTCTTATATTTATTACCACAAAGCTTACACGTCAGATTTTCAAGAGGTCCGTGAATGTAACGGACATGAAGTTTGAGATTCTCCTTACGGGTGAAATGACGAAGACACCATGGACACGAATACATTCGAATCACTTTGCCCCTATCTACCCGTAGCGTTGGTCCCAGCTCAGATACAACACGCAACGTTGTCTCCAATGGTAAAGTATTATTGGAAATACCTTTCACTGTTCGTCGACCTTTACTGTGACAACCGGATTCGTGTGTGAACTCACTTTGAACACCAGTCATGTTGCTTAAACCTAATAAAAATGACAATACAAATAAGTACGGTCTTATCATATATCAGCGTATACTTAATGATATATAGTACTTAAATGACTATTCGCTATAAGACAACATGGCATTATACTGTTCTCAAAATTTATAAGTGAAGAATATTATTAATCTCGTAAAGTATAAATAACTTACACTGCAAATGGTAAAGATTGAGTACATAATAATTAAACAACAGTGACGTTAAAAATAAATTAAGTTTAATAATAACTTAATCACTGTTGTGCATTTAGTTATTGTATAATTATGAATACAATTTCATTGTATAATTGTATCATTAAATCTAATACACTTACTTATAATTGCATCATTATTTAGCAATCATAGGATAATTAAATATATAGTAATTATTGTAAGATTAAAACATGATAGATAACATACAATAGACAGATTGATTTAGTTTGAAGTAATTCAAGCCAAAATAAATTTTTTTAAATTACAAATTTTTTATGACTCAACCCAATCTTCATTAAATTATTATTTTCATACATTTAAAAAAAGATTAGTATTTATCTTGTATGTGCATATACTTCTTAATTCTTGGAATGCGGTGAACGTGTCCATTTGGACCCGAGTGTTTAAAAACCATATCTAACTCATCGATTTGTAAATGTAATTTAAGCTAGGAATTGTTCATATTTATTTATGTAGAAAAAGCAGGTGTAGATTAATGTAATAAAAAAGAAGGAAGCATCGGGTTTCAAACAGACCCAGACACCACTGTCTCTATCAACATGTAAAAACATCTGTACTCCGAAGGGTAATGAAACTTAAACTAGCAAAAATGATAAATTATCACTTCAAACTATAAAACCAAGAAACGTACCATATGGTTGAGTCTGTATATTTTGATCATAAGGAACTAACTGCATGTCTGGTACAAAATCTGTAAAATAAAAATATTTGTATCAATTAAATTTGATTCTAATAGTTACTACTACTATAAGTAACCTTTAGCTATGTAAAATTATGTAATTTAAATTTGAAACACTGTATAATGTAAACATACAAATATAAAGTAGGGTCTAGTAAAAAATAAATTTGTTTTGCATAAGTCTGAAAAGTTATGTGTGTGATCATATTTTAATCTGGTTTTAATACTATATACATCTATCAGTGATAGCAACTGAATGAGACAATGTTTTACATCATCACATTTTCAAGCATGTGCTTACACAGTAATAACACTTTTCTGTGCAAATTGATATCTTTGTAGTTGTCTGCCTACTATATAATTACTTAATTTTTTTTAATGTTCCCAGGAATATAATACATAGAATTAATACCTTTTCTCTGCAAATTGTCTTCAGGTTTATAAAATGGTTCATTTGAATATGTTCTGTACACTGTTTCTGAATCAATATCTAGTGTGTAATCTAATGGTTCTTGTTTAGGTGGTTCTGTGTAACCAGTATCAGCTGTGCAATCCAATGGTTCCTCATCATTACTTGGTATCTCTACACTTCTGCAGTTACTATTCTGTGGCATATGCATGTCTTGAACATTGTAGATTGAGTCAGTATTAGAACCTTGCTGACAACATGCATCACTGGCAGTTGTTCTTTTTTCTGCCAATTTTTTATCATGTAGATCTGTCTTTGACAAAACATCTTGTTTCTCAGATTGTTGATCCTTTTGTACTGTTTGTTTCAGTTTCTCAACAACAGATACATTTAAATCTAACACATTTGAATTAATACTCTTTTTTTCTGTTCCAAACAAGTGATCTAATTGTTCCGCATCTTTGGAAAGACTGTCCTCAAACTTCTAAAACACAAAAAAGAATTCTTTACATTGTACACTTAAATGTTAGACCTTCATTGTTATACCTCTTCAGATTCTGTGGTTAAACCCTTTATCTGCAAAGTCTCTGCTACTTTTAAAAAGCTTGCTATATCTTCTTGTTTGATGTTAACTTCACCTTGATACATAAAGTGAAGCATTGCTGATAAATCACGGTAATTGACATCTTTTAGTATCACAATTGGATGTTTACAAGAATTTCCCTGTATTATTACAAAAGTCATTAATATTTCAGAATTATTAATATAAAAAGAAAACAGATAAGACATACCTTAAAGAGTTCTCTGAAATAAGTACTACAGACTGATAATATTAACTTATGTGCACGTAATATTTGACCTTCTGCAGCCAATGTTACATCAACTAGCTGTTCATCAGTCAGTAACGTATACAATCCAGACGATAAGTTTCTTGGGAAACTATTCCAAACTAATGAAAACTGTTCTCCAGACATTATTTCTCTGCAACGAAATTTGTTCACAATTAATTATATTCTTGCATGTATTTTGTGATGTATCTCATCCTAATTAGAGCCATTCATACACATTGGTGAAGCTTCTTCATTACTCTGCATTTGGTTAGTTCTTAACGTTTATACCGTAATTAAATACTTTATAAAATGTATTATACTTAAAAACGAAGAATTTCTGTCACTGTAGCAATAAGCAGTGATACTATAAAAGCGACGAACATTATAATTCATTTAAAAAGGTAACCTTTATTAAAACGCAGTTTGACGATCTGACGAAAATAATCCACCGATGTTTCAGCTTCTTCGTTATGTAAACAATACGATTTTAATAGTTGCAATTCGTATGGACTCAAAAAAATCACTTGAATTTCATTGTCACCACATTCCTTTTGATTTTTAAGTAAATACAAAGAATCATTTCATCCCTATTCAAACAGTTCATGTTAAATCCTAAAATTACAACTTATAGTTTACAAAACATATATTTCACGAATCAAAAAATGTTTAGAGTGGTATATGTAAGATGGACGAACATATGAATTATTCGAGATAGTATAATTGTCGCGCCATTCGATTGTGAACGAATTTTAATTTTACTAACATAAATTTTCATAAAAAGTTGCAACATATAAAAAGATATTTTCTAAACAAATACTTTTAATATCACTAGTAATCACTTTTTTTAATACATCAAATTATGAAATAGATTATATGGTATATATACACATATTCACAGATATTATTGAACACAGCCATCTTGCTCATGAAAGTAACATATAAGTACTTATTCCGATTTGTGACGATAAATATATAATTGTATAATGGAAAAAAAATTTATTAAGTCGCGTTTATAAGTTACGCGTTAAGTTTAAAATCTTGATATAAAAAAGAAAAAATGAATAATTCCAGTGACATAAATATTAATAGGAATAGTTTTAGTCTGTTTATGTAGTATTATATGAAATATTAATATGTATCACTTAATCGTATAATTTATTTATTATCAATTAGAAACTGTCATACTGTTATAATATTTAACATATATTCATATGTCAGTTGCCTCATCCTCAGTTTCACGCAAACGAAAACATTTCCACAGACCATAACGAGCTTCCCAATCTACAAAAAACAAGTCTGGCTTATCCCAAAGAATATGATGTGCTGCAAAATTATATTGAGATTGAATAGGTGGATTTAAATGTGGAGCCCACTGTGCTCTTTCGAGCATAATTTTGTTTACATACTCATAAAATACTTTGGCTTTATGAACCCAACACAAGAGAGACATAATTGCGATTATTGTGGCATGTAAATGATAAGATACTTCATGCTGATCTTTGTATTCCTTCAAAGTCAAGTCTTGCAAATTCATTATAAGACAGACTATAGCTGCTGCTGTAAATCCACATGGGACTTCTATTGCGAGTAAACATATTGTGCAATATGATGTTTCTAAGTTCATGCGCGATGTACAATGGTTCACGATGCTCTTTAAAAGACTGTCATGCAGAATCTCCCTATGAAGTTTGCAAAACATCTTATCTTCTTTAAAACACTCTCCTATTGTCAAATCAAATTGAGTATTCTCAAAGAATATTCTGGGTGTATCAAAATTCATTTTATTTTCTCTTCTGTCAAGTAAATATTGCATTACCCTATTTCCCAATAAACTTGTTATTTTGCTTTTTGATGCTATCATTTCCATAAGCAATGGAAATATATTTGGTGTTAAAGATTTTTCATATAATGTAACTTCATGCATATAAGCTGTATACTCGAGTGTACTACCATATTCTAAAATAATTTCATCAGTCATTCCTGGCTCAACAGCCCATGAACACATGTATTGGACTATGATTAGAAGGTGATCATTATACACATGTTTGACCATATTTATAATACAAACTTCTAGGCCCTTTTTAATCATTGCATACGGTATAGCATGACTATACTTGATAAATGACACAGATGACTTTGTAGTAGTTACACTTATGTAAAAGAGGTTTAGAATTCTTTTAATGACCATTAGAGTATCATAAGTATCTGGCCACTCATACACATCTAATAGATCGTATAATATTCTTATAATTCTTCTTGTGTCTTCTATGTTCATATTTGGGTCTTCAATTTTGTCAAATATTGTGTAGAACATCAACGATCCGTTGACACCACTTTCCAATAAATTACATAATATTTCAAAACAAACAGTTTCAAATTCCCAAAGCTTGTTCTCATAAATGGTATTGAGTACTGCTTGTAAAATTTCCTTGGACTTTTCAGGGATATATACTTGCAATAAATTGTTATAACACTCTTTAGCAAGCCGACGCTTTCGTCGACGTTTCCAGTCGCACATATTATCATCATGGTTCAAAGTTTTGTTGTAATACAAGAACAGTTTAAGAGTACATATAATTATGTCATCTGGTTTATAACTTAATAGTTGTTCGTGTAATGCACTTTTTGTTATACTTATTAAATGGCTTAGTATTTTATCACGTTCCCGTAACGAATTTGTAGTTAAACACGCTTTATGTATATAATCTATTTTACTCTTCAATTCTTGATTTGTAATCATTATAATATGATGTTGCGCTTAAATGATAAAAAACACTACAAACATAATTTTGGTTAGAAACATGACTTTCAATTAACACGACTGAATATGCAGTTCTTAGACGTTTTCGATACGTAAAAAAATACAATATTTGTATGTATTATGTAGCTATGTTTTTATAAATTTTACACCTATTTACCCTAGATACAAAACAAGTCACATATATAAATGTATACGTAGAACTTGAAAATCTTACATTGTGTATTTACATATGTATGTATATATAATATTCAAAGATGTGCATTGAAAAACCTACATAACGTTTTTTCCTACTTTTTACAAAATGAAATCATACATCACTCAATTTCAAATATTGAAATTTAATTATTCCTATGAGAAATAAATATATCGTTTTTCATTACACTTTGTAATATTATATATAAATATTTTGATTTATGGAATAAAATAATAGGATTATTGCTTAAAGCAAATAACAATCTCTTTAGAACCACAAGTCGCCACCGACGTCTTCCTCCGGTTGCGGTAACTGCTGTGTTTTTTGTTTTTGTTGAGCACTAATTTCCGCTTCGTCCTCACTTTCCGACACAGCTAGATCATCCTGGATCTTATTCTCACTTTTTTCATCTCTCGCTGGTAACCCAGCTAACAAGAAATCTGACGGATCATAATTTGGATCGACGTCCATGCTTTCATCTATAATTAGTGAAAATACAATTTGCAATTTCAACTGATTTATCCAACATCTTATTTTCTATACTACCAACCTTGCTGAAGCAATTGTTGATCCGCCATATAAAAACCGACATTACCCAACTGAACCATTGCTTCCGCCGCTTGCTGACTGTCATCATCTGCCAATACTACTCCACCTTCTCGAACTTCGTTTAATTCAAGTGTTTCCATTTCAGCATTTTCAGATTGTTCATCTGTACCAAATGGAACCTCGTCAAATTCGTCTTCACTGGAGAATTGTAAATCTAAAACGAAAAAGATCAATGTAATACTTAAAATTAAGAGTAGTGTAAGAAGTTTTTAATGACTAATTTCGAAAGTTTCCTGTACCTTCTTCAAGAACATCTTTTTTCTTCAAATTTGCACTTCTACTATCACCTTCCAGATCTCCTTCCACATCCACGAATTCGAAGTCATCCATATTTGATTTTCCAAATGGATTTTCTGGAGAACTTGTCTGACTCTGTAATAATACCATAAAATCATTAAATATGCATAGTAATAAAAGAAACACGAAAATGTGATAGAATATGAAAACAGTACCCCTCTGAATTCCGGTTCCACAATCGTATAATTGTCCTCATCTGCACCAAGCCAAGAAGGATCCATATCTGCTTGCTCTATTGCACGTTTTTGTACTAATAATATACTATTTTCTAGCTGCGTTAAATGTTCATCATACTAGAAAATATAAATTAGTTATAGTTACAAAACAAAATTTAAATATTATATATAATAATCATACAAGTGATCAATATTTGTATATCTACCTCGTCTAAGGTCTCTTTGCAAACCTTTGCAAGCATCTCTGCTTTATTTGTATATACAGATTCCTTTCCATTATATATTGTACAATTTTCTAAGATTTGTTCAATGTCTCGGAGAAACTCATGTCGGTTATGATATTTATGTGCTGAATAAAAATAATATAATCCAATGTAATAAAAGCCGTGAAATCTACTAATACTGTACTACTATTAATAATGTAAATTAACTTACCAGACACTTTCTTAGATACAGTCTCTAGATCCATAGGTCTTTTTATTACAGTATAATAATCTTTTACTAATTTCTTATTTACTGGTTTCAAGAACGGCCAGGCTTCCGTCATAGATTTCAACTTATTATTAACAACATTATCCAAAATAAACGTAAGAGCAACTTGATCATTATCATCAAGAAGAGGGTTAATAGCTTTCTCTAATCTCATTAGAAGATCCTCTTTTTCACCGAGTCTTTCTACACAAGTCTCTAACATACGTTTAGCTGCGACTGTTAATGAACTCTTTGCTCCATTATACAATGTTGAGTTTTCTACAATTTGATTAACATCAGCCAAAAATTCTTCTCTGCTCTGATACTTCTTTAACCGTAAATTTTCACGGATTGTTTGTAAATCCATAGGTCTTTGTATAATCTTATAATAATCAGGAACAGCCTAATAAAATTTATAAATATATTACAACAGTATGAATTTATAAAAGAACATAATTCTATTAGAAATGTAAAGATACCTTAGCATTAACAGGAAACAAGAAAGGCTGAACATCAGGCAAATCTCGCATTTCGTTAAGAATGCTTTCTAATATTGTAGACATTACAACGACAGGGTCAGTTCTACGTCTGTTAGCAGGTCTCTGTTGTCGCTTAAGGTAATCACAGTGGTCATCTCCAGTAGCTCTCCTTCGTTTCTTAGAGTTTACAGCTTCTTTAGGTACTTTCAGTAATAACGTACGCCGCTTCATTTCCTCGGCATGCTACAAAAAAACAAAACCATGGTGTGTGACATCCCATTTCGGCAATTATTCTTAATGCTTTGAACGTAAATTGTACGTCGTACGTGCAAGCAAAAAAGTCCCAGAGCATTTAGTTTGTACGTCGGATAACCCGATACGGTTAAAATAGATTACTTTCCAAGAATTTATTGTCCGCACCAGATGTTAAGTAGTTTACCTTAATTAATTTAGATGACAACTTCACTTTGGTACCATCTACGTTAACCAGGTCTTGATCGTCTGTGTTAAGCTGTTTTTCAATTTCTTCTTCTTGTTCCTCCGTCATGGCAACATTTACTGGCGCTGTGGTTATACTATTCTGGTACAGAGGACAAGCTTTATTTGTACGCATATGGCCCACATTGCCACAGGCACCGCATTTCAATTTAAGATCTGGTTTAAGTTTAGGTTTCTTACGTTTAGAAGGAGAAATCTCGGGTTTAGGGTGTTTGGAAGCAGGAGATGTAGATTGGAAAGAACTACAGAATGGAAGGATACTGTTTGAGGATGTGGTAGTTGGGGTACTGGTATTACGATCGAATATATTCGATGACGAATGATTGCCTGTCATAGGACCACCGAGCATACGTTCTCTTTCTTGGTTTCTTTTGATTCTACGCAACTGTTCTTGAATTCTTCTTTTTTCTCTCTTCATTTCTTCTTTCTGCGCCTCATCCAGAGTCGCAAATTGTTTAATGAATGTTTCATCTTTTGAGTTTCTAATCTTTATATACGTGTCTATCACTGCTGGCTTTCTAACTAATTCTACCCTCGTGAATTCTTTTCCTTCCGAATTTCTAAACGTTCGATAAATCTTAAGAACCCTACCTTGCTGTGCATTAAAGTTATTTACAGGACTGTCTTCTTCATCATCTTTCTTCTTTTCTTTGCTCTTCTTCTCTTGTTCTTGAACATCGCCCATTAACATTTTCCGCAGCTCGTGTCGCTGTTGCTCTTCCCGTTCAAGAGACAACTGGGTGCTAGTTTTTTTGTTAGAAAGCATGTTTTCTATATTCTTACCCATTTCCTCTATATCAGAACTGTCTTCGTCTGAACTTTCACCTTCGTCTGTACTCAAAACCTCATTCGAAGACAACACGCGATTTTGTAAATCGAATATTCTTTGACATTCTTCCTTATACCTTTCTTGATGCTCGGCAATGGAAAATCGATTTCCTCGAGAGAACTTTGTCATACCTTCTTCACCAGCCTTCGCTTTTTCTGTAGACAACGTTCTAACTACATCTATAACTTCCCATCGCGATAACTTTTTAATTTCTTCTTCAGGAACACCAAATTTACGAAGTAACGCCTTTGCGTTATTTAAAGACAGCCTTCTTAAATCGGCGTCTGTTCCGGTTACGGTCCTCTTAGGTTGTGCTTCTTGTTCCTCCTAATTAATATTGAAATAATTAAAACAATGTAAATGACAGAGAAGATAATATAAAAAAATTCTCAGATGTACAAATAAAATGATAAAGTTTTGAAAACATATTGCACTTACTTTACTGATTGTCGGTTTGTTTGGAACTCTGATATAAGAGAATCCTTCACCGCAACCTGTTGGATCTGCTGGTCCCGCCAGTTGCAACAAACACTTGCCTTTCATAGCCTGAATGTATGCTCGCGTTGTATTCCAAGGTGCAACTTTCACCTCGTCGTCCATTTTCAATTGCATTTCTTCGTCATCATCATCTTGAGGAGTAAACAGGAACTTTTCACCGTAACCTGCATCTTTCAATCTTTGCTCTGCCGCAATCATACTGAAGTAAGAACAGCACTGTTCTGGAGACACCATTGCTCGGATTTCTTCTTCCGTTGGTAATCTGAAGTCCGGCTTTATAACCCACCAATTGGAATTCATACCTAATATAAAATAATTCAATACAGTGTCTCGATTTGCTACAATATATTTCTAGTGTTCTCTTAAATCTGTTAATTAAACCTGTTCTCTTGAAATCTGCACACAGTTTTAAGCGTTTTCGGATGCTACTTTCACTATGCGACGGAAATGCTTTTTTAATGTCGTCCATCTTAATACACCGAGGTGTATTATGTGCTTTCCAAAATAATCTGTATATGAATACTTGTAAAAAATCCCTGACAAAATTATTGGCTCTTTTCGAATTAGGACCCGGCACTTCATACAATGGGCACTCTTGTCCAGCGACAAATAAAGCATCCATTTCTCGGATGTAATATTGCTGCCTAATACAAGAATATTATCTTTCATTATATCACAAAAGATCGAAAAAGAAAATTTCATTACCGTACCTTGTTCTGATAACCATGAAGTCTGTCTCTGGAATTTTGTGTTCATAAATTGGTGCTCTGTACATATTATTTTCAATCGCTTGGATACTTTGACCAGGCGTAAGAATTCCAAGAAATGGACTGGTGTGTGCATATGCAGTTTCACCATATTTGTATTTCTGTGGTCCTTGATCTTTGCCCGCTTTTCTTTTATAATAATTTTTCATCTTGGAGCACATTCCTACTTGATTCATCAAAGGAGGATGCTCTTCTGAGAATTCAACGAGTACCAGTTCACCATCTTTACCAGTTAAATCTTCTGGAGTTCTCATAAAGAAGACGTCACCTCCGCCAGATGCAATTCTTTCTTGTTCTCTTTGCTAATTCGCAAAAAATATTACATGTACTTTATCTTCTTAGATAACAGACAGTAGGAAAAAAAAAAGGAATCACATAGAAGTAGTAAGTAATACAAACTTTGGCTTTCTTTTTGATATGCTTCAATAATGGCAAAACAGAATGAGGTCCAGGATGTGCAAGTGGACCATGACTAAATCTTCTTAGAGGTGGTCTATGGAAATTTCGAAGCCGCATTTGTCCCATATGAGTTTGTATAAATGGAACGCGTAATTCTACTACAGGTGTACTGTGCTGTATTAAGTTCCCACCTCCAACTTTCAACCGTAATGTTGTTTCTGACGACCGTGGCATGTAATATCTGAAATTCAAGTAAATTTTTGAACTTTCGATCTCATACAAATTAAGTCATCTTTATTGTTACAATATGAACTTACGTGTCGTTTGAAATATTGAACGGATCCCTGTCTGGTGACTTCGGTGGCGGTGGCGGTGTATCTTCTTCCAAAACATTAATTACTCCAGCTTTCCCAAGTAACAATTTACTCTTTTTAACATGTGGATGGGGTATCTTTACTTTTGGTTGAGGTCCATTGTCTTTATGAAGCAGGGCTGGGTCTATATCATCAGGAATACCAAGAACAATATTTTCATCATTGGGATCCAAAGTGAGAATTTTAGGCTTTGGTATCTTTATCATGTTTTCAGGATCCCAAATTACTTCTTCCTCCCAAAGTCCATATACTAACTCCTCATTTTCTACAGGGAAAATTGAATACCAAGTGTCATCATAATTTTCTTCTCTTGTCTGTTGTTGACTTCCCTTATTCATACTCCTGTTAAAGTATCACAAAGCAATGAAATATTATGAACAAATTAGATATATTCTAGTTCAACAATGGTAGAACTTAATTTGTATCCCTTACATTTTATTCTTCTGAGGCTGCATATGTAATGGTGTCGTAATTTGTGAAGTGGCTAATCGAACATTTGATGCAACTGGAACAGGTGCACCTTTCCCTGGTTGACTGAATGCTTGAGCAGTTCTATTCCCACTGGATGGTACCCAGCCAGCTGCATTGTTTTTACTGTTTAATTTCTGTAATACCTTCAAATACATTTACGTTCTTAGTTATACAATCCTACACAGATTGTAGTACACACTATTTTCTGCTAAGATACTATTACATACTTTATGCTTTATGTCATCACCATTCCATATGACATCATCTTCCCAATGTAATTGTGATACCATTAAAAATGCATCATCAGAAAATTCTTCAGTAGTATCTTTATCACTCTGTTCCTCTAGCTATTAAAAACATAATAACAGCATTTTCTATAATAAATTGATGTTCTGAAGTATTTTGATTTTTGTAGCATTTTTAATACACATGATTGTATACCTTATCCGAAAGCTTAAATCCATAGTTAAAACCATCCCCAGTTTCTGCGACTTGAAGCATATCGTACCAAAGTTGTGCAGGTCCAAACCGCCAATCTGCTACTTTTGGTCCCATATCTCCATTTTCTCCAGTATCACCTGTTTTACCAGTTTGTTCTTTATCTTCTACTGGTAACAATAACTTTTTCTCATCATCGGAACAACACATTTCTGGATTCGGATCTGGCCCATAATTCATCTCCCAGCCCTAAGATAAAAATTTTCTAGTAAAGTATTATAACCATTAAATTAGTTAAAACTTAAATCATATGCTACATGTTCCTTACACATACTTTAAACTTTGGTTTTTTTTCATCCTGATCAGAACCAGAATCAGAATCCCTAACATCATGATGCCGTTTCTTTCTTCGCCGCTTTTTAACACCCCTCCATATTTGCGGAAGACTACTAGGTTTTCCTGGACCAAAGAGCCTCGAAAATCTTAATACCTTATTAGCACGAAAGTCAGGAAACAATTCAGTGACATTGACATTAGCATATTTAGATGGCAACATAGAAGCAAGGGGGGTCTCTAATTTCCGCTGACGGGCAGCTTCAGCCTCCTCTGCTGTGAGTGCTTCCTTCTCCTCAGGTACTGGAGGAGGTGGCATTAATTGTGTGTCAGATTTGTTAACAACTTCTTCATCATCCGCATCATAATCATTTTCTTTTTCATTTCTTCTTTCAAATATACCTTGCTTATCTATGCACAAAAAGAACATATGAGAATGAACTGACACATCCACATGTACATTGACACAATACTATAATCATATAACATAAACTAGACTTCCTTCAATCTTTGGCTCATTAAACACTTTTCATACTCACTGTTTTCCTCATTTATGTCATCTGCTAATTCATTTATATCAGAGAAATCAAGAGCGCTCGGTGACTTTTCAACATAATTTATATCATTTTCATCTATAGTTTCAGTCTCTTCTTCATGTTTATTATCTTGTTCATCATCCCTGTCATCTGTCATATTTTCATTGGGCATCATTTCTCGAATAAATGAGCTTAGACCAAGACGACTGAGTGAAGCCAAATGTTGCTTTGCTTCTGGATCAAGAATATCATCTTCCAATTGACCATTATCATCAATATTTCCAAACAGGAAACCGGTCATATTGATTCCAGACATCAAATCTTTATCACTTTCATCCTCGGAATCAGCCATTTTTTATTATTCTAAAGCCAGATGGATTGATATATCAGTAGTTTCGTTACAAAATGAAATTCAGTTTCTGAATGTACAGTGGATCACCACAGATATTACATATCCATGTCACAGTTTTTAATAGCGAAAATATCAAAGTATCACATAGCGTGCATTTAATTACTGCTTTACTATTTTTAAATGATTAATATTTACAATAATTGTCATTATTTACAAATCTCCGTTAAATACAAAGTTAGAGTAAGTTAACGCTTTGTTTACGTAAACCTTAATTGTCCGCCATGATCTTAAAGAATATATTATGAAGAAGCATGGAGGATAGAGGGAAGAATGACGATCGAAGCTTAAATTCCCCTAGAAAAATGGCCGTAAAAATGGTTGCGTTCAACCACGGTCCTATACCACCGACGAGGTATAGGATAGACCTATCATCTTATGGGACTTCGTGTCTCATGTTCTGAAATACCGATAGTGTAAAAAGTCAGGGATTTTCTGCTGCCCTCTACGTTATGAGAACGATGAATTTGTGAACTACGTTAAATCTAAGAAGGGACCATGGTCGTGAACGGATTCTCTTCCGTCCATTCGCTATAAAGTAGACGTATTAGAAAGGAGTCTTGGGTACTAATCCCGACGGACCTATATTAGTTTTTCTTCACGTACAAAAAAGTTATTGCGTTTAATATTGTTTTTATGGATATGTATATGTATCATTATGTACATTTGAGTAAATTATTTTATTATTCCATTGTTATTATAACAGTTTAACAGTGACAACGAACGCATGCATATTTTCAAATATCGGACTAATAGTATATTTTTATTCTATATTATTACATATAAGTGAGTAATACGTATCAAAAACGTAATCGAAACACAGATTTTTATTACACCACAAACATCGCATAAAAGATATTTCGTTATATTGACATTTGTAATAATTATGGATGTTGCAAGAAAATCAATATTATTGACACTATGGAACATATAACGAAATATCACTGTAAGACTTAAAAAAGTTTAAAAATTCCATTTATATTATTGTCCTGTGAAAATGTTCATACTTCCAGCAACATTCATATTCCAATCAAAGAATTTACAGTAATTTTCAGTAGTTCCATACAGCTTTATCTGGAATAATTTTCTAAAACATTCAAAGTACTAGACATTTTTACTGTTTGACACTAAAATGGTAACAGGGCTACGTAGTCCTATGAACGTGGGACAGAAAAAAGCATTGGATGATAGCTCTATTCTATACCTAGTCGGTGCCTATACACAAATCCGGAAACTCCCGCGGTTGAGGCAAATGAGGGTGATCCCTTAAACCATGTACTTTCGAACTTTGCCACGCAGCGAAGGCACTACGATCTTATGGTTCAGTCATGAACCTAGAAATGAGACTTTGTTCTCCGTCTTCTAATTTCTAGGTCCAAGGGTTCAGCGTGGCATAGCATATATTACATACCCTCGCGAGCAAACTCGGATTCCGCTAGGGAAAAAAGTGACGTGGAGAAGGACCTCCTACCACTTGGTAAACTTATTCCAATTACTGAAATAAATGTTAAATTGAATGTTAATTTGACATATATTTCAATTATTCCTGAAACCAAATAGCAGGAGGTCCTTCCCCTACGTCACTTTTTCCTCTAGTGGAAGCCGAGTTTGCGCATCGGTACCCTCACAAAAGGTTATATATATATACTAACACTTTTACATCCACGAGCAAACTCGGCTTCCTCTAGGGAAAAAAGTGGCGTAAGATTATATATATATATATATAACAACTTTTGTGAGGGTACATTAATTATATTAATTATATTGGTGAGATACTAAAAGTATTTGCTGAAGAGGCAATATATCGAAGTCATGGTACCAAAGAATAAAATACAGTTTTATTTAATTCTACTCGTTTGGAATCTAATTCTACGGATAATTCATTTCTATGTATGTACATAAATGTGCCATCTTCTGGACATAGAATCTAGAAATTTTATTTGCAAAGTATATATGGAAAAATGAACCGTAATTCCATTACAATTGTTAGCTATACTGAATTGTTACCTAAATATAATATTATAATTTGTGAGCAACAACAAATACATATTTTTATAGATATTATAAGTTTGTAGTTACTACTTTTTGTTCACCATTCTTACTGATAAAAGTGAAGAATAATGAGGTATTACAATGCAATGAAAATTTTGTCATAAGAAACAGAAAACAAATTGGTTTATTTTATGAAAAAAAGGTTAAATTGTTTGAAGTGTAATCGTTGCTCCTCAGTTTTGTAACATATGTATACATATAAATGTAAATAACACTATTAACATTTGTTTGAAATTGGTAATGGAATTTATTTATTGAGTAATAATAAAGTTTTCTAGGATTAATACAGTGAATGGCCCCTATAAATGAATTATAAAATAAACCAAACAGTTTACAAATTATAAAATTATGATTCAAACAATTCATAAAATTATCGACAGAACTCGGAAAATGAAGAAACAGAACGTGTTATAATTTCACAGTTTCACATAGACGAATCACAGAATTATTTACATACAGACAAAAAAGAACTTTCTTTTTAAAGATCAAAATTCCTTTTAAAGAAAATTCCAATAACATGAGGTATACTTAATCACCTATTTCATTGTATATACAGTAGGATCCCTATATCCGCGGATTCCATACCCTCGATTTTACTTATTCACGATTGACTGTAGTCCGAAAAAATTGCATTCAGGAATGTAATTTATCTCTAATAAGTCTGCATAAAAATCAAAAAATTATCATAGGAATTTACAGCATGTACAGGCATACAACATATTTGTATGTACGTATGTACACGCACATGCAAACTTAGCTTCCGTTACAGAAAAAAGCGAAATTCTACAATTCTTGCAGTTTGTATTACTCAGAAATTGAATTTTAGAAAACAATTTACTTCATTTTATAGAATTATGAATAAATTTACCAGTATTCCGCATTAACAATTTTTCCCTTCGGAAACCGAGTTTACACGGCAATGTTCATATGTATGTAATAGGGTTCGCTACTATCCGCAAAATGCCTTGGAACCAATCTCCCGCCGATACGGGGATCCTATTGTATTTAAAATACAAATGAATGTGGAATAGTTAATAAATATATACATTCTTATGTCTTTTAAACTTCTCAACATTCTACTCTAATGAAATAATTTATGCATACACGAAATGTATAAAGCAGTGTTATAAAACAACAGTACAATTTTTTAAACTCCTATACATGTTATATTAATTGCAGAAAAGCTGTGCACTGTTTTCATTTTTGTTGCATAAATACACAGACACCTATAAAATCTAGGCATTATAATTACCAATTACAAGAACAGGTAGTTTGCGTGTATCTTATCTTGACTAGATATAACGAAGTGCACATACAACATATACAATACAGTACATGTACAAATTATATATGCTATATTAACTGTAGTTCATGTAAAAAAGTTATGAACAGTTATACATTATTTTATATATATGTATAGAGTAGGTATACAAAAAGAAATTATTTTGGTTGTGAAATTGCAATAGCTGTTTTCAATTTTTGGCATTGAATAATTAGAATGGATAAATAATACTTATAATACTCAGACAAACTTGACAATATGAAAGTTCGTTATTGACAAAGTTTTTAACAATAATTATTGAATTGAACATACTTTTGAAGTTCCATGTGAATCATCCATAGCAGCTGCTCGTCTTTTTATGCCTTCCAAATATACTTCACGGTTGAATAAACCACCACCAAGAGGAATTCTATAAGAAATGTGACTTAAGTAAGTACTACAATATATTATTTATGTATATATTTGATTTACACAGATTTAAGTACATACGTGTCAATACCAGGTCTTATAGTTGTTTTAAAAACACCCCATACTGGTTTATGATCTGAAGTACAAATGCTTGGAACAGAATCATATACCAAACACTCTATAACTCCATCTTTATAGGAATTTGTGCTTTCATGACTAACTCTTCTTATATACCCTCGCGTATTTCCTTTTCCTTTAAAGAGAATTCTGTCAGTATATGCGGGTGTGCGTTGCTTGCTACTGGAATCGAAATTCTGTGTTCCTGGGTCATATTTATAAGTTGGTGGAAATGTAATTGGTGCTTCTTCGAATCCACGTAAAACAGATCCTTCGTTAAGAGTTGCACGTAATTGGTCTTTACGTAAATTTACTGGTGATTGTTGAGGAAAACTTGTATCTGTTACCCACTGAATAACTTCTTCTCTTGGCTGAGCTAAACGAAAATTCAAGTCTCCACACCAGAATACGCAATCAAAATTTTGAGTTACATCTAAAAATTTAAACATTAATCAAGTATTTTTAGACTCCACTGGAATTGAGTATTTATACTCATCGCAATTGACGCTAATATTTATACCTTTGCTTTTATGTCTTATAGGTAAGTCTTTAGGAAGATCAAGATTTCGAACTATTCTTTTAATGTCATTGACTCGTTCTTTGACTTTATCTTGATGTGCGGTTAAGTGTGCAGTAACAAAAAGGAAACTTGTACCAAATAACATTAATGCTATAGCTACTGCTCCTTTTGTTCTAAAAGCAGTGCCTGTTCTAGTAGAGAAACTAGCATCTTCAGCAATGGAACAGAACCAAATTAAATCTCTTCTCAAAAAAAGAGCAAGGTGTAATGTACCTAAACCAGTACTAAAAAGTAATACATGGGAAGGGCCAAGAGTTTCTTGCAAAGCTGCTTCCCATTCATTTCGTTCAGAACACGATTCCTGTGTTCCAATCACTAATAAGTCCGGAACAATTTCTATATCTGACGGTAACATAAAGTCATTTAACTCTTTTGGTGGATTCTGTCCATTCATATTCCATGTTCCAACAAAAATTTTCAGTTCACGATTTGGTAATACTTTCTCAAGTTCTACAGGTCCGAGCAATGAATTTGCAGCAATTCTTCCATGAAGAAAATTTCTATAATAAAATACAAAATTAAAATATTTTCTTCGATATGTACATATACATATAAGTACGTATATATACACACATTATATTAAGTTTCTTGATAAAATTATAATTTCATTATAAATTTGTATACCTTTCTCGTGCCTTTTGGGTAGGAATTAGATTAAGAACTTGAGCAGCTAGCAATGCTTGTTTTGCTAAACTATCCATAGACACTCCAATTGTTTGTGATTGATGACGACATTCTCTTTTTTTGGACAAAGCATCATGAGATGTAGAACGTGGTTTGATTTGAACAGGTGCACTTCTTATAGATTCTGGACTTGAATGTCGCATAGAATTAGTTGGTGAATTTACTACTAAATTATCCGCAGATCGCCTATGCATTAGTTTTTCTCTTATATATGCAGGAACATTTGGAGAAATGGATCCAGACGACGAATTTTCACCTAAAACATCAAAACGTGACACAATTATGTAGAAATCATAACACTCATTGTTACTAATATAAAAATTAACATTCACAGGACCAGTGAAAAATCATTTTTAATTTAAGAATGTATCAGGTTTTGTTTATGATTTTTCACAATTGATTACTTTCTTTAATAAAAATGAAAAATCTTTTGCATGAAACTGAAGTACATTCATATTGCAAATATTTTAAAATAATTATCAAATATTATTAACACAAATAATATCTTTATGAATGTTGCTGATTTAATGACAATCATTCAAGTGAAGTTCCTGTTAATGACTCCAAGAATGAACATACATATGTAGCCACTAATGTAATCTCTTAAATAAACTGAATTAGGATTACAAAGTAGAATAATAAATAACATCACAATATGTATCTGTAATGAAATCAAATTGATCTAATTGTCTCCTGTCAGATTCTTACAGATGACAGTTATTTGTAATGTAGTAAAAATATACATATGTGATTTATATACATAAAATACATGAAATAAATAATATCTGTTCATTTATACAGACATGTAAATATAAAGTATTATGAATCATGTCTAACAAAGAATAAATACTGTCTAGCATTTTTACTGATATGTGTACTATAAGTAACAGTAGTATGTATTTTAAACACCTGTACTTTGTAAATGGCGAAATAGAAAAGTAACATGATATTTGTAAGTATAATATAATAATAAAATGAAAAATATTCGAAGAAGCACAAGAATGAAACTTTAAGCAACAGATATACTTTATTTATTATACCTTCTTTTCCTGGTTTTTCAATATTGTTAGATTCATTATAGTGAACCATACTGTAAACTTCATGAGGATTGTAGAACTGCCGTTCCATTTCCAAGAAGAAATAAGTAATATACTTTCCTTTTGTAAAATACTCATTCTTTAATTTTTTTTCATGTTTTTCATTATCAATCAAGAGTTCATTCTCATCTTCTGATGATTCCTCAAATAAATCTTCTGTTAAATCTGTAGAGAAATCACTATCTTCACTACTTTCTTGGACTACCACTTTTTTTTCCCTTAATAATAATTTATTTGTTTCGTATGATAAACTTGCAGTGTTAGAACATGGTACAAAGTTTTGTACTTTGAACATGGAATTTAAATATTTTGCAGAGTGTTTTTCACCTGGTTGCTGTTTACTTTTTACCTCGTTATAATTCTGTGTTAAGAATGCAATTTTCTTATCTAAATTCCTATCTGAACCAGAATCAATTAGCCCTTTTTTTCCTCTATCCATATTAATGTTGGTTGAAGTTTTTGTTTTCTTATCTCTTTGGTAATCTGATGTGTTTGTACATATATCATCAGTATATGTATTATATTTTTATTTGAAACTTTAACTCACATTAGATGTAACTTTAGCATTTTCATGACACTTTTCATCATGAGGGTATTTACCAACTATAATATTATGATTATTGTTTTCAGTAATATTAAAATTTAATTCATCATTAATATCTGGCTGCAACACTGACACATTCTTATTTCTATAGCTCTTACCACAAGGATAAATATTATAAATTTTCAATACACCCTGTTGAAGATCCACCACTCTTTGGAATTTATGATCTTTTATTTCTTAATTTGCCTCTATTAATTTTTTAAAATGTTTGATGTAATTTTTTGAAGCAAGAAAATTTTTTACTTTAAGATGTAAGTTAGGCAGTCTTTGAGAAATGTTAACTGATTGCCAGTAAAGCCCACATCTCCTTGTATAAGAACAATGAATTCAATTCCTTTTCTAGATTAATGAAGATTGGAGACCAGGTGGGGATATACAAGGTCGCTACTTCATTTGACCAGATTGCACAATTGACAGAAAAAGAAACATTGTAATAAGTATAAGGAAAAAAACCTGGTGTGTTTTAATGAATGCAAGAAGTTAAGTTTCTTTGAAACTTTACTGATTTAATGATACAAAAAATTAATTAAAAACAAGAAAAATTGAAAGAAAATCCCTTAGCAAATTGTATTAAAGTTTATATATACGTACATTGTTCCAAGTAAATGTTAGGAATTAAATTATGTGATTTTACATTATATCAATTACTAATTCAAGTAAGAATAAGTTCTTACCTTCAACAAAAGTACATTGCTGCTGCTCTTTTCCTACAAAAATATTACTCTTTTCCAAGACATTTCCTTCAATGTTACGTGTACTACTTGGTGTATATGCTTCTTCCTTTTCCATTAATACATCCATTTGGCAATTTCCATTAACAGAATCTACTTCGGATTTTACAGACATACGACTTAATGTGGTTGGGGATAATCTACTGACAGTCAAACTTTGTGGTGGTGTATTGCTGCGTTCAGTCATGGCACAGCACAATGAAAGTTTTGTACTAGTATGTGATCCATGTTGCGAATTTTCTGCTTTAGAAGTTTTCTTTGTATTACCATCTTTGTAAGATGTTTCCAAACATCCAACTTTAGTTTTTTTATTCATAAGCATACGGCAAAGAAATTTTTTTTTTTGTTTTGACTTGGGAGAAATATCTGCTTTAGCAGCATTTGATGTGTTGGATGTTTCACTTTCTTCGCTTTGCTCCATGATAATATTTTTTGATTATATATTTTGAATGTAATATAAACAATTCGCAATTAATGAATAAATTACTTCGCTATTAACTTTACCAGATATACCAGTCAGGAAACTTTAATGAAAGTAAGCCTATTTTACATATAATGCTACAAAATAAATAAAAATTTGAACATTTACAAAGTGATTTTGAAATTATAATTGGTCATACAATTATAATCACTCCTATTTCAATGTAACATACCTTATAATCAATCATGACTTTAATGTTTAACATTACTAGTGACACTAACTTGTAACTGTAATAAGTACTTGTAATATTTTTTACAAAATCATGTGCAATTGCTTTAATAATTATATTTTGTTGTACACTATAGACTAGAATCGTTAAACAAGGCGATTGTATTATCTTGTCAATAAATACAGTACTTTATTCTGTCAATAATTTAACATCAGTATTTTTTTAATGTTTAAATTTAACACTTGTATATGTAATAATACAGGTAAAATAATTTAAATGAAAATAGATGGTACATATATGTTTGAATGTATTATTTGGGACAACAATCTTAACATCCAATTCTGCTCAATTTATTATCTTAGGCACAAGATTCATCTTCTCCGCATACCCATACTAATATTTGAATATGCATAAATGACCTACCGTTGTGTATTTCTTTAATATTGTGCTAAATTTGTGTTTTTTTTATTAGTGTACTATAAATCAATTGTGCTATAAAAAAAAGCATTCTCAGTTAAATATCGAAGGTGAATTCGATTCAAGTTGCGTGCACTTCTTTTATATCGTTACGAAATTAACTTTGACTTTTAGTCTCACATTGACAATGCATTGACACGTCATTCACGCCAAAATCCATAACAAACTACATTGCAATTGAAAATGCTTGACAGACGAATAACTCTAACTTCCGCTTCCATTTTTACGTATTAGTGGAATAAGCAGCATAATACGTGCATGTATCGTTTAAAAAGTGATAATGGCTTTCATTATAATTATTATGATAGTAGTGATTGTTCTTCCTGTGCGTGAACTGTCACAGAACGAAATATTGTGTTATTCACCACTTTGGGGGCTGATTTCTGAACTTGCGCAGCTGTCAGTCAAGCAGACGACAACTATATTATGATAATATTCCTTAGAAGGGTTCCAATTTTGGTAGTTGGTATTGTCTAGTAGATAATATAATTAGTACAATAAAGAATAAAATTCGAATACTAGCGAAAACTCTTCTTAGTGCGTTGAAAAAGAAAGAGTAATTTTCGTTTTATAGTCAAAATTGTAGCTGTCAAACCATAGACATATATAATAAACTGCGCGTCTTATGGTAGGGATGAAATCATAGACATATATAATAGACTGCGCGGTCTTATGGTAGAGATAAAGTCGGCACTAGAGAGAGAGAACAATAACTAGAGTAGCTTTCCTCTCTTTCTAATGGGGCTGTTGGTGGGGAATGCTCCTATAGCTGTGTGGAAGCAATCCATGCGTGCAGCAACTGAGCATTTCATGTCCTCATCGCACTCTAATCGCTTTCTCCCACTGACCTATATACTATATAGTATATAGATACAGATATAGATCACTATATAGTAAATAGATTAGTGCTTTCTCCCCTGCTTCTGCAATGTGCGAGCAAGACAGGAGCTACTCCAGCGCTACTTTTATCCTTGGTCTCGCTTCATCCCTTCATCCCTTTAAGATCAAGCAGCTATTATACAGGATGTCCCAAACTAGCTTCGACTCCCGGAAATGTGGGTTCCTTGGGTGATTTTAAACAACTTTTCCCTTAGCGAAAACGTCCGAGGCTTTGTTAACGAGATATTAACGAAAAACTCCGATCAATTAGATTGGTAGCATTGGCTATGCGCTGTGATTGGCAACCAACGCTTCCGCGGGAACTAGCCCGGCAGATTCGCGCTCCGATTGGTCAGGGCTTTTTCGTTAATATCTTGTTAAGGAACCCTCAGACAACATTTTCGCGAAGGAAAAAGTTGATTTAAATCATCCAAGGAACCCCACATTTCCGGGAGTCGAAGCTATTTTGGGACACCCTGTATATGTATTATTTAATAGTGCAAATATTTACATGTACTTATTTCTTATAAGTGATAAAATACTAGAAATATAAACGTCGAGCAATACAAAAAAGTTAATATTTCATTAACGTATACATTTAATTTTGTAATTTAATATTAAATAATCATTTAAATACTTAAAAATCGATTGCAGATGCATTTAGGTAAAGTGTAATCGATTTAATCTGTAATAAAGTAAGTTGTGCAGTTCTACTGCATTTGTGACGTGGAAACTGCGTCAGAATATTAGCAGGTCTATGTTGACAGCTTTAATTAGTACTGTCTATTCAGAATACTCTCCTTCAAATGTAAAGGACAACATAAATGCTGAGGCATCGATCTTCAATTGCCAATAAATCAGTACAACCACATATTTATGTCGTCTGCATAAAATGTTGACTGCCTAATGATCCTCTGTGCATGTTTCTGGCACACAGTTTATTTAGTGAGTTCAGACGCGTTTGACAAGAAAATGTAAATACAATAACATACAAATTTTAATAGTGGATTTTATTTGATTTGTGATACAATGTATGTTTTGATAACGAAAGTAAATTTTTGTTTAATTGTACTTTCATAAATTAACATTAAATCTGCTTTATCATAAAAACAACTGGAAATTGAATTTTTCTTTTATTCATTGAACAGTTGTTTATTTTCAGACGATAATATTACAATCTTAGAAAATTATTATGTAAATGTAATCGAGCATGTTGGTAAATAAATTCAAAAATTCAAAATAGTGAATATGTATATGTACTATATTATGGTTATATTATTAACCCTATCGTTGCGGCAGATTTCAACGTAAGATGCATAACAAACGGTAGATAATTAACTTCGATTGGAGCTGCAAGCAGCAAAATTTTTCGCCAGCGATAACGATTGTTGAAAATTAGAAGCAACAAGGTTACAGTAATCGCAGTATGATCTTCCAAACGATTAAAATAATAAGGACCTTATACCAACAATACGTTAATAGTGTTTGACAACTGAACTCCTTCGTGTGCATATACGCGCTAATCGCACATTACAAGGAAGTTTTCAAATCACCTATAAGCACCCAAAAGCAGTGATGAGGGTTAATAATAATCATCACCAGAAGTTATCACTACGTATGTTTAACAAAAGGTAAAAAAAACTGCGAGTACAGCAACGTTTTTGCGTTTAAGAAGGCGATACCCATCCTCCAAATGCTTTCTCCAACTCTTGTGCTACAGCCAGACATAAGTGATCGTTATATGGAGCTGCTACAACCTGAAATAAAAAAAATTCACAATTCATTGAAAAAACAGCTCCTCTTCACTTAACAAGGTAACATGATCAAATTGATAAGCGCAAATTTAATTAAATTTGGCACAGAGAAATTGTTAAACAAAACAGTCCATTGTACTTTAACACTGATATGATTACAATTTTAGAAAAATCATAGGTAGCATCAGTGCGGCTTAAATGATCCCTTTTTTTATAAATAGTTTTATAACTGTTTCACATTTTCTATTGTAAACTGGTCACTATATACTACTGGCCAAACTAATAAACATATTTCTTTATTAGTTTTGCCAAATTGTCTTTTGAACAGAAAAGAAATATTATTTATGTATCACAATATCGTTTGATGCGGTTAAAAATTATGTACAACAATAATTGTGTCACAATTTTAAATTAAATAAATAAAATGTCGTGCAGCAGAACATCTCGACGCAACAACATTAAACAAAATAACTTTCCCATTTCCCATTTTGAAAACTGTTTTTTCTTCGTAAATATGGAATATGAACAGCTATAAAAAAATATGTGACTGAACATTTTTTACTTCTCTACCTGTCTACCAAAGATTAAAATCAACGCGTATCAAAGTGATAATCCTTGTGAGTATAAACATTGTAATGGAGTGTTTGCAATTTCCATTTGTGTAAATAGTAACAACATGGAATGTTTTACAACTGAATAAGAGAACAAGTAAGTCTTACTTGCAATCCAACAGGCAATCCGTTTTTGTCTAATCCAAGAGGTACTTGACAAGTAGGGAGCCTCAGAACATTGAAGAGACACCAGTAACCAAAATTAAAGGGTCTGAAGTAAGCTGTATAGTGATAACCAGCAGGAAAAGGTGAAGATGGATAAAGTAATACTCCATTGTTCCCCAATTTGTCCTAGAAAAGAAAATCCACCTTTCATGTGCTTGAATTTTATTAGTTAAAAGCAATCGAAGTAGATATACATAAAATTAATTCAGTAGAAATTATAAGACATTTATTATAGTTAGATAAAAGATATAAATGCACTGAAAAAGGTTAAATTCCGTTGATACACAAGACATTTTTCGACTGGGAATGGAATGGAATAATACTGTTCAACGAATCATAATACTTACCAACAAGTACTTTTTCATGTTGGCAGTTATATTCATTGCCCATTCAGGATCGTCTTTCGGCAATAAGTCTTCATCAATTAATTTCATAATCGCTGCGAATGTTAATTCAGATTTACCAGTTAGGAATTTTGAAAATTCTGTGATGGCTTTTGCACGGTACTGAGAATATGAAATAATGTTAATACATGTTCAATTATAAGGCTATTTTTATTCTTACACCTTAGTAAATTACCTTCTCGTTTGTAATACTTAATTTGAAATCTAGATTTTCTTGGGACATCCAAAACCTCCACAAACGATAACTATATTCAGATCCAGGTATTTTTATCTATGATTAAAACTGGTTATAGTTGTAGTATCTTAGAAGTATGAAAAGTAGGAAATAAATGTCAGTTAAAAAAAAAACGTTAATGGAATGGAATGCATACATGATGACAATTTTTCTACAAATAATAAACAGTAAAGACTCCATGAGTGTTTGAAACTTGGGTTCGTTTCAAAACCATCACGGTGCTCGCGAATCGTTTCAACACCTCACAAATCAATTGTTTGCCTGAAGCCCGACCTTCGGCAACAAAGGCAGACCGCTTTTGGAAAAAGGGAAGGAATAAGCCCCCCCCTGCCCCCCAGTGGTCAGAATGAAGTAGAAATTCTCACAAGGAACTCCTTATCTAACTCTCATCGAGTCTTTACTGTACTTAGAAAGTAAACAATTTTTAATACCATAACTAATCAGTAAAATAAATATGTGCAATATACAGAAAATGCAATTGTTATTTTTAAATGAACGTAGTTTACTTTTGTTGCAGATCCAGTAATTTCCTTAAAATGATGTACAGCTTTTCGAAGGGCACACTTCATCTCAGAATTTACTTTACTTGCTCTCAAATCACCTGAGCTTTTTTGATAAAATACATTAAGCTTTTTTACATCCACTGGTGTATCAAGGTGTAAAAGAGACACTTTTTCGCCGATTAAAACCTTTAGAAAAGGTGCTAAATCTTCTGCTTTCTTACATATAGGACCTGCTTCTGCCATCGAATTAGGATAGTCCGTTTGTCGCAGTCCAACACCTTTTACTGGCGTTAAACCTGAGAGGAAAATTATAAATACATAAGGTTACAATATGATTGTAACACTGCAGATGGACACCAACATGTACTATTATTATAAACATATAAATAATACCACTTAAAGGGACCACGAGTGTTTGAAAAAAGAATTAGGATACAGGAAAATAATATAAAATGCTTATTCAGGGAATACCAATAATCTCAATTCGTCGACTATTGTACGACATAATTAATATCGTTCAGAGTAAAAAGGACGTCGACCACAATTTTAAAGTATCCACGAATTAAAAAATGGATTTTAAAGAGGAAAGATTCCAGAATACGAACATATTTTTAAAAAAATTTTCCAGGTGTGATCTAGTGGTGAAATTTGCAAAACAATATTTCTAAATTTTTTGCATTACAAAAAAATACTTTACGTATAAAACAAAAATGAGTAAAAAAGGACGATCCTTCACGGTTAAAATGAAAAAAAAAAAAATCAAGTTCATATCTTTAATAGTTGCAGAGATAAAAATTCTTTCATAAAGGTTGTTCTCTTAAAAATTGGTGAAAATTACCAAATTTGTATTTTTTTAAACAATTTCAAAACTAGCGAAATGATGACTTAAACACTCCCTATTTTCACATGTACTATAACATACTTCAATGTAAACAAAATCCCAGACATCGTGTACGAAAGCGATCCGCTTGGTTTGGAATAACCCTGAAGGTATATTTGACGTCACTTTTATACATGAAAATTAACATAGCGCTTTTCTTTATTGGAAAATCACACGGTGTACTCTACGCCTATCAAGGTATTGTTTAGAATAACAATAAAATAAACTATTTGAAACAGTAAAGTTAATTTTGCGAGTATCAGAAAAAATGCTGCATGTCACACATTTTCATTTTCGAGATATTGTCATTTAAAGTTCTGAATACCAATTCTTCTTATTAGCAATGTTTCCTTGTTTTCGTTTACCACAATTAATAACTCGGAAACGAAGCTTTTAATGCAATTTGATTGTTCTTGATTTTCGTCTAATGTTAACGTGTAGAATCAACCCGTAATGTTTCTGATATAGTATTGGAACATTCTGTATACAATACTGTAAGCCACTTTCATATTCACCAAGACCGTTATGATGTTCATTCACAAGTTGTAAAGAACAAGTACTTAAAGTTTGTCGAACCTTCAGTTGGTTTGTGTCCAAAGACTCCATTAAAGAAAGCTGGCATCCGAGTAGAACCACCAATATCGCTACCAATAGATATTGCAGTTCCGCAAGCAGCAGTTATTGCTCCTTCCCCACCGCTACTTCCACCAACGTTCCTAGTAGTATTATATGGATTACAAGTTTGTCCATATATATTGTTTCTTGATTCGGTCCACAAATTCAGCTCAGGTATATTTGTTTTTGCTATTAAAATGCCCCCAGCATTTTTAACTAAACGAACTACCGTTGCATCTTCTTTAGAGCGATAATCACGTCTGTTTATTAAACCCATCGTATGAAGCATACCTATGTCATTATTACAATTGTATAAAAATAATTACAGTACTAGATTAATAGCAAAAACTTAATCTGCTATTAAAATTAGTTAATACATATCTTATATAGGATGTAACAAAAATGTTGGAGGACCCGGAAATGGGAGACTCGTGAGGTGATTTGAAACAACTTTTTCCTTAGCGAAAATGTTATCCGAAGCCTTGTTAACGAGATATTAACGAAAACCCCCGACCAATCAGAGCGCGAGTCTGCCGATCGAGTTCCCATGGTAATGTTGGCTACGCGCTGCGATTGGTAGCCAACGTTATCGCGGGAACTCAGCCGGCAGACTCGCACTCTGATTGGTCAGAGTTTTTCATTAATATCTCGTTAACCAAGCCTCAGATAACATTTTTGCTGAGGAAAAACTTGTTTCAAATCACCTCACGAGTCTCCCACTTCCGGGTCCTCCACGATTTTTTTTTACACCTTGTATAACTATGTAACCTCACCTTTGGCTTCATTACTATCTTTTGTCGTAAAAGGAACACCTAAGAAAGGTTTCTCTTTCTTAATTGCATCAATATCTTCTACATTTTGCAGAAATTTGTCTACTTCTTTCGCTTCCTCCAAAGCATCAGAGTATCTATCTTCTACCACAGCATGTATTATTTCATTCACTTCATTGGCTCTTTCTATAAATGCTGTGACAACTTCTACGGATGATAATTGTTTTGTCCTAAAACCATATTTATAGATCGCATAAACAATTATTATCAATTATTAACAAATATTCTCACTTGACATCCCGCGAGCTAACGCTCTGTCTATATATGTCTTATGGGCGGTGTTCATAGTCCAATCTCAAGTCCGTGCTTAAGCTCGACTTTTAAAAGTCTTTCTTTTTTAAAATAAGTCTTCATGTATGTATAGAAACTTTCAGAATAAGTCTGTTAGAACAGCCAATGATAGAAGGATATTCCGTTCGTTCCTTGGTGGACAACGGAGTAGAGAGCGCGGACAAGTGGTGATTGAGTCTACGGTTACAGTGGATGCTACGGGCTGTTAACTCCCATTAGAATAGTGTGGTCAGTCATAAGCTACCGAGTCACATCACCAATGGTGCTAAAGTCGCATTTTTCGACACATGTACTTCTATGTAGTGCTATGTAGTTGGTGGATAAACCACGTTCTGGCGGTGGAGGGAGTTCAAGCCGTTGACCCGTTGGCCATTTAAATTTTGTTTTCTGTTGCAGGTGGTTGCAAGAGGATTACAAATTTACGGAAATGGTGTCTTGCTGTGTTCCTGGTTGCAGGAGCGGGAAGAGTAAAGTTAAATCCTATGTTTTACCACAGGAGAAAGAGGTAAGATTATACTTAAAACCAGTTTTTGTAATTTTATTCATATTACAAATTTTCTCCCAATAATAACGAAGGGTCATTCTATGTGAAGTCTAACACTTTTTGGGTAATATTTCGGATTTTGTTGAAACTTGGATATATATGGTAGCCTTTAATGATATACGAACATATCGAAGGATTACAAAAATTTTTTAAATTGTAAAAATTAACTGTTTCAGAGACGAATAAAATGGTGTTTGGCCATATGCAGGCTATATTTAATCGACGTCCATCCATCCAGACGAAGGCAGTACCGTGTGTGTGAATTACATTTCACACACGAGTCACTGTTCGCTGGTCTTCATAATAAAACAAACCTGAAGCATAACAGTATCCCCACACTGTTTTTGCCAGGACTGCGAGGAAAATGGATGGATCCAAAAGAAGCAAAGATTCTTCTAGAATCCATTAGAAATAGTGATCCATCCAGGATCAAACTGGCATTTCTGCAAGGGAATGAAGAGTTTGGAGAAAGCTTTGATGATACTGGTATTCTAAAAGGGCTAAGCTTGAGTGGAAAAACAGCACCCCCTGGAGTAGTTCCAGAACCTCTTCCTTTCGACTTGGTGGAAGAGCAATGGGTTAAGAAATGGTTACCTCATGAGGAAGATCTGCCTCACGATCATATAAAGCAGCACTAAAAGCCGCCTCCAGTAGCATGACTCCGATTCCTTTTATGAGTAAAGCGAAAGAGTTGCATTATGAGACCGGATGTCCGAATACCATCAATCTCTGGGTTGCTATTATGCCAACCCTGCGTTTTCTCGAGCGAAGAGAAGCCAATACAATGATCAAAGAGCTGGCATCATTCCTTCTAAGCAATCCATCAATGGCGGAGCCTTACGTGCTTGGAATTTCCAGAGCCAAGGAACTGGGAACCTCTTCGACTGATTATCTTGCCAATCTGGAAGGTCGTATCACAGACTTGGCTTCCCAACTGGAAGTCATGAAGTGTCAAGCTGCCTCTTACGTTGATGAAACGACCAAATGTGTCAATCAATTTTCAAATATCTCTAAATCAATCTCATCTTTTCAAAGCTTGGTAGAAGCTGTTGTCTTAAAGACACAAAGACAAGATTTACTTCCGACTCCTGCTCCTCCGATGAGGCCTCTATTTACTGCTCCTTCCTCCTCAACCTCATTTTCTGCAGAGACCGTAGAGCTCTTAGATCTATCAAATCCTGGGGTGTTTGAGTCATTCTATACAGTTAAAATTGGTGAGGCAGGAATTCAGTCTATTATTCCCCCTACTGGATACCCCTATTTGGCAAATATCATAAATTATGACAAGTTGGTCCAAATTGCCCTACTGAACCTCGACCAAGCCATATTGGTCAACAAAATATCGAACAACCCGAACTATATTAGAGCCTTTTCGGAGGCGGTCTCCGACGAATCGAAAGTGGTTTTAAGGAGATTGGTGGTTGGAATGAAGCCTCTTAAAAGGCAGTGGAAGAGATCATATAGGAATATCTCTTAATCCCATTAAATAAGTTAGAGATTTAGAGAGAACAAAAAAAAAAAACCAAGAAGCAAATAACAGGAGGATCAGATATTAAATCTCTGAATTCTCTTCTCTCTCTGGGTTTCACTAATTGTGTATCCTGAGAACCTTGACTGAAAAAGATGACAGCCTCAACAATTCCAGACACTGTTAGATCCATCGATAATAAAACAAACCTGAAGCATAACAGTATCCCCACACTGTCTTTGCCAGGACTGCGAGGAAAATGGATGGACACAGGTATGTATTTTTTCCACAAAAAGGACGACTTCATTTTAAAAGCTAAGAATAAGTATTATGTTTTATTTTTATATAACTTACATGCAAATGTAGTTTTCCCTTCAATATTAAATGGTGCAACCAGAAGATGGCACATCTCTGACTGCAGAAAGCCAGTTTGAGGAACTGGGTAAGTTTGTTTATATTATAGAATAAATCAATTTTTGTGAAACTTATGTGTGCACATACTTATAGTCATTTTCACTTATTTTTCAGATATAAATCAGTCATTTGATGAATATGGCATGCATGATTGTGTGTGCAAGATGGCTAGGGACTATTATGTAAAAAAGTATAGAAGAATGTAGTATGCATGTATCGTATGTATTGTATGTGTTATACAGTATACAGTCCCTTATTTCCTAAATTATTTGAAACACGAGAGTTTTCTGGTATTTCAAATACTTTAGGAAATAA